TAAATTTTAATTTAGAAAAAGGAATTTTACAAATTAAAAAAATATATAACATTGAAAAAATAAGAAGAAAATACGAAGATTAAATAAGAAAAAATTTAAATAAATTTGAAAAAATTAAAAAGAAAATAGCAATAGTTTTTAAAATATTTAGAAAGTGTTGAAATCAAAAATTTCGAATTCTGAAAGACATTGTTTCATATATGTATGTATGTATAATTTTTTTTTGTATTTTTTTTTAATATTTAATTTTTTTTTTGGCTGCTGCTTCATTTATTTGGTAATGACTCGTATGCTAATCTGTTGACCCCATTAAATCTAAAACACCCAAAATCGCCCTTTATGCAGACCAATCGTTGACATACCTACAAATCACAATGCTTTCTTGCTTCGTACGCAAATTAATTTACAAACTCTCATGACAACCATTTCCAAACAGAAATTAGAGACTACGAATTGAGACACCAAAGCGCATTAACCTGCTTTGTACGGATTAATTTCGAAAAATTTCCCTATTCTCAAAACAAAAAAGCTAAGAGAGAGTGCGTTTAAGCGTCATTGTTTACTGCACAAACAAATCACTTGCTTTTAACGCCTAAATGAATAACGGCCTCCGTCTCTTAATACAATGCGATTTATTATTAATTTGTTTGCTGTGCTTACATAATTTTGCTGCCGTTCTAATTTCATATCGGAAATGGTATACACGAATGCATAATTAACGGTAGGTATGTATTATTTTTTCAGAACTTCATTTCATATTCTGCAATTTAGAGTTGGCATTATAATAAATCATCACGCACCAAATCCTCCACCAGCGCTGCCTCTCTTCGTCGCATTTCCAACTCCTCACGCTCCAATATGCTCGCAGCATTGATGGCCGCCTCCTCGGGCTCGTCCTTGGCCGTTTGTGCGCCATCCGTTGAGGATGAGGCTGCTGCAGCCGCCTCTGCCGCTTCGGCCTCTTGTTTTCGCTTGCGATGCTCATAGTTGACCAGCCGTTGACCCACCAAATATTTGTCCACTTTAATGGCGACATACAGCTTTTTGAATTGTTTGATTTCGAAGTAAATGTATGCAATCACCACGACAATTATGAAGAAGACCGGATAGACAACGCGTGATATTTCCAAGCGTGACACCGAATTCTTGAAGAATATCGGCAATATGGAGTGTGCAATCACATAGGGTATGGCCAGAGCCAAACCGAAACAGGTGATAACGGGTGTGGCCAATTCGCGTATCAAGAATTTCAAATCAATATCACGCAAACCATCACGATACGCACGTTCGAGTGCACGTTTCAAATGCCAATCCGGACCCATGAGCGTCAAAGCAATAGCAATTTTCGTATAGAGTACACCGAGTGCCCAATCTTGCCATAGAAAGTGTATGGGTGTTTGGTAGATGGGCACACGCAACGGTATCACCACCACCAACTCGAGTAGTAGTCCAAACAGCAGTGGTATTACGCCTAGCATTAGAACGAATATTAGTACGGGCAAGGCGTACGAGGCGCCAACACGTAGCCAATGTTTGATTTTATCTACGACTGCGGCGCGCCCTTGCGGCAGCAGGTTCACTGCAATCGCAACACCACGTGATATTATCCAACAGAGATATGTGCCCAATGCGGCAGTGTACAGTTCGTGTGGACGTGGTGATACCTCAGGTGCTTGGGCTACTACTTGATTTGTGAAATGGCCACCAACGGACCATAGCGCCATTACCTGGCGACCAATCCATACCGGTACCGTTAGTGTTATGACCGAAGCGATTACCAATGAAACGCACATGAAAAACAGTAGACCGCACAAACGCAGTGGGAAGAGTGAGGGACGATCGTATGGTTGAAAACCGACCGGCACATCGCGTTGCATTATCGCCTGATGCACTGCACCGAGATTACGTTCGCGCGGCAACGGCACAGCAGGTGGTGGTCGTGCCGCTGCAGCATCTGCTTGATCTGCGTTCGCATTCGGCTGCGGTGCTGCATCGTTATTGGCAGCAGCTTCAGGCGCTGCTTCAGCAGCTGGTGCAGCGGCGGCGCCATTTGCAGCATTATTAGTGGCGTCAGCGTTCGGCTGTTCAGTGCCAAGCAAATAGCTGCGTATGCCGAGTACCCAGGATACACAGACACACCAAATGCGTAGTAAACCCTTAAGCCAGATGCGTGTGTGCGATTGTTCGAAGAAGCCGGGCAGAATAATCTGTAAAATATTGTGTATATGAATTTAGGCCTAACCCTATATGAATTTACGTATAACGGTACATACCTGTAGCAGCAGCAGTTGTAAGCTGAGCTCATTAACTTCCGAATCGCCAGATAGGGTGTAAGGCAAAAAGGAAGGCCAAATTGTTTTGAGCATGCGTATTGGTAGCCAAAGCATCAAGAGAACGGCGGAGCCAAAAATCATAGCGGAAGCAATTAGACGGCGTACATGACGGAGTATGGGCAAATGAATCATTTCCTTTTAAAAAAAAAAAATAGGTATTAAATATGTGGCTTTCTCTCAAGCAAGGTTGAGCTTACCTGTATTGGACTGAAATCCGGATCGTTCAGGTTACGCAAAAACCAAAGTACACCGGGACGCAGTACTTCCCGCAAGAGCGAAATGAAAGCGGCGAAGTAATAGACATAAACCATGCCAAACATCCAATGCACAAAAAGCGATGTGCCGGGCGCAGCTTTAAAGCTCACCTTGCGATCCTTAATGCTGGCATCGAACAGCGGTAATGAGCATATATCCAACCACCAACCGCACACTAGTGGCAGTACACCGATTTCAACAACAGATAGCAGTGACACTTTCACAACTATATAGCACAGACCGATCAGCCAACGCACGCGACGCATACGAAATACACGTGCAAAGAAGTGCAACACAACCAAAGTTAAGCCAATGCAGCAGTAGCCGAAGAGTGTAGTGATGAGGCCGTGAAAATGCAGCAGCGGTTTATCCGGTTGCAGCAGATCCAAAGAGCTCAGTATGAAATTACCAATTAGGTAAGGGCAAAAAGCGAATGTAACGATGAATAAAGTATTTAGTGAGATTACCCAAAACACGTGTTCAAGAAAAATTAGTGAACCATCCAAACCAAGTAAACGCTCCCAAGTCAGTTCTTCAGCGGCGCGATCCCATTCCATTGGATTCCAGTTCGGTTCATCGTTGTCGTTATCATTTTCTGCGGCAGCACCACCAGCTGCAGCAGCGCCACCAGCTTGCGCCACACCGTCATCGTCGGCTGCGGCATTAACATTATCATTGTTGTTGCCAACTCCCGGTAAATGTTGGTGTCTTGGTCCGAATTCTAGCGGTATTTCACCTTCTTCTTCTGCGGGATTCACAGCTGCTGGCGCGGCATTATTCATTGGCATGTCTACAGGAGCTTCCTCATTGTCACTGTCATCGTCGGCATTGGCCGGTTCCTCAATATCAGCGACATCGTCAGCTATACGTGCAGCTGCGGCTTCAACAACTGCACCATCTCTAACATCTTCAACAGCCACCGGAGCTCTTGGCATTTCCGGCTGAGCTTGTTCTTCACCATCATTAACCGCAGCAGGTGCATCGTCGCGTTCTAACCAGTCCGGGCCGCCACCATGTAATATTTGCTCACGCAACCAAACTAAACCGATGAATGACAGCAACGTACAAGTCACAACGAAGCAACCGCGGAATGCATCAGAGGCCAAATTGTTTGTGGAAAAGACGTCGAACGGCAGCGATAGTATCATGTCAAATGATGAAGCCCGAAACAAATAACGGTATGTACGGTATGCAGACAATGGTACTATACCGAACCAAGCTAAACCGACTAAAGAATAATGGAACCATGATTTGGCTGCCTTGGCAACAGCTGATAATAAACCACCAGCTACATCACGTAAGGGCAACACACGTGGCATATCAGGCGAGTAGATCGGCTGAAAGCTAAAGCGGTGACCGCACAATTCACAATACTCTTTATGTGAATAACGCATCCATTGCATTAAGCAGTCCTGGTGTATGTACTTAATACTGCCCGTACATATACATGGATAGAATAGTGGACGGTCCGATTGTGCCTCACAACGGCACACCCGGCAAATATCCTGTGAATTATCATCCATGGCTACTGCAGTTCTGCGGAGGAACGAATAAAATGTCAATGTCTATTCCATTACAGCACACGTCAATCCCTTTGTTTTGCTTGTATTTGCGCGACTTTGACAATACTACTTCGTTTGACCTTTCCTGCGTACAAAATTACCAATTTTATTATTACCAAAAAACTGTTGCGAGCTAAAGCAGTTTTTGTTATATTAATGTCTGCTTTTTTACTAACTAAATGTTTTATTTCGGAAAGATTTTTTCAATTACTAAATAGTTTAACTTTTTTGCGTGTGAAAAAAATCCAGCAGCTGCAATTTTCACTATGACCAACCTATGAGAAAAACCAAATTTCTGACAGCTTAGTGTTGCCAGATAACTAAAATATCTGTTTTTTTAAGAACGATTGTATTCCAAGTAGTGTTTACAATAAATGAACTTATGAGCGGAGGAATTATTCTTATATCTCTAATACACAGCTTACTATTTTTCTAATATATATTGGCAACCAATAATATATACTTCGATATATAGAAAAAGGAATTTTACAAATTAAAAAAAAAAATATTCTGAAAATCAAAAATTAATTTAGAAGAAGATTTTTTACAAGTTAAAAAAAAATATTTTAAAAATTAAAAAAAAATTATTTTAAATATAAAAAAAAATAAAATTTTGAACAAGGAATTTTACAAATTAAAAAAAATAAATACTTTAAATGGTATTAAAATAAATTTTAATTTAGAAAAAGGAATTTTACAAATTAAAAAAATATATAAAATTGAAAAAATAAAAAAAAATAGCAATAGTTTTTAAAATATTTAGAAAGTGTTAAAATCAAAAATTTCGAATTTAATAATTATGTAAATGTATATAACTTAAATAGTTACAAAAATTTATAAATTTTAATTTGTGTAACCGGTAGTTTTTCGTTTGACACTACATAATTTAATGTTGACAACTCAGTTAGAGTACAAAAAAAAACAATTGTTCACATATGTCAAAGCTGTTCAGAATTTATTTGTGATTTTAGACATTCGTTGAAAATTCGTCGTAGTATTTTTTCTGGCAACATATAGCTAAAGAATTTAGTTTCAAAATTTTAATTGTGATAAAAACGTAAACGTTTTTAAAAATGTTCCTTAACAAATTGAATACTACCGGTCGCCAATTGGCCAAACCAGCGCTCCGTGCACAGGCTCGTGCTATATGCACAACAATAGCAAATCGGGAGATCTTTCAAGTGCAGAGTGCCGAGGATTTCGACCAAAAGGTCAAAAAAAGTGATAAGCCAGTAATTGTGGATTTTTTCGCAACGTAAGTTTGATTCTAGTGTTATATAATATTTTCGCTTAATTATTTGCTACTTAATTTTGTAAAACAGATGGTGCAATCCATGTAAAATGCTTACACCCCGCATTGAAACTGTGGTCGGTGAGAAAGCCGGAGCCATCAAATTGGCCAAAGTAGACATTGATGAGCACAGCGAATTGGCACTCGATTACGACGTTGGCGCGGTACCAGTTTTGCTAGTAATGAAGGAAGGCAAAGTAGTGAATCGTATGGTCGGCTTGCAGGATACAGATAAGATACGTGCATGGATTGATAAAGCTGTTGAGGGTGCCAAATAAATCAAAAAAGTAAATACGGAAAATCTAAGATTTAAACTATAATCGAACATCAACAAAAACGATATTTTTATTATATTTAATGCTTTAACTTTGTTAACAAAAATAATTAAGATTTGTTTATGGAATAAAAAAAACAACTTAATATTTGATGAAAAGTAAAGTAATGTTTTATTTTGACTATTGATATATGTCGCTTATATAATTAAATCGAGTACCAGCCGGGTGTTCCAGGCCGTTTCTTATTGCGATCTAGGAAACGTTTGAAGCCTTGTTTCGAATCGTCCATTGATTTTTCTTCTGCTTTCTTTTGTTCTTCTTTTTTCTCAAATAAATCGGGAAAAGTGAACTCCTCAGTACGTGGCTACAAAGGAGATATTTATAATACATATATATTAAGCTGGTTTTTATTAATATCATGCAAGTGCTCACCAATGTTACATAAGCAATCTTAACATCATCATCTTTGGTCACATAGCCCTTAGCTTGATCTCGTTTGGTTTTACCCATTTCAATGCGAGTACGAACGTCCACCACTGGCAGTTTGTAAATCTTTTCCAAGTAATTCTTTACGTCATATTTGGTCATCTGCATCGAAACGGAAAATGTCGCAACATTTTTTGGCTGTTCCTCCGCCGGCCGAATCAGCTTCATCCAGAAATTCGGCAGAAATATACGTAATTGGGGATTTCCCCGTTGATAAATTGGATACCAGCGTGTCGACATTTCAGGAATTTACTTTACGGTTTTACAATTAAAAAAAAAAAATTTAACTCCTTTTTCAACGCGGTGCTATTTAGCAGCATGAACAGCTGTGCGGTTGTCAAAATAAAAAACATGTGGAAATACAAAACGAACAGAACTTTGTAGTTTTTTTGTTGTATTGTTTTGTTTACGTTTAGTTGCAGAAAAGAAACAGCAAAGCACTCATAATTTAAACAAATTCGTTTGGAATCGCAAATTTATTTTGGAGCGGAAATATTTGCCGAAAGTGCTGAAAGAGTTAAATTGGTTGAAACTGTTTTACAATTTCGTTATAAAGCTCCTACCCGCAAGAGTGCTTTAGCTTTCTGGAGTACACAGCCTTGTTTTCTTCACATTTGTTATCGTCGCACGTGTTAGCTGTAAACAGCTGTTCGTTAAAAATCACAATTTCTTTTCAATTCATTTATTAAAAATGACAAAGGTTGTAAAGAAAAAGGATAAACGAAAATCCGCATCCTATAAAAAGTTATCTCGTAAAGAACTACGGAAGCAAAAACTGCAAAGCAAAAAGGAAAACAAGCGTTTGTTTTTCTCCAATAAAACGAATGGTGCTGCATTAGTGGCCGATGCTAAGGCAGCAGCAAATTCACAAAAATCTAAGAAGGCAAAGAAAAGGAAAACCAAAAAGACTACCAAAGTTGTATCGCCCGAAGATTTACCCATAGAGGAATTGCTTTCTGGAAAAGTAGATTCTGATAATGATGAATCCATCGCTTCAGACTTCTCGGATGATGAAGTCAGTGCACGCATTCCAGCGAACATGGCAAAACAAGAAAAGCCAATACAAAATCAGAAGAAGAAAAAACAGCAACCTACACGGCCTGATGCTGAGGAACAACGGCGGCGCGTGTTGAAACAACAGAAAGATTTGGAGAATGTGGCACGTAAACAACGACTGAAACAACTGAAAGTTGAAAATGAAGAAGAAGACCGTTTAATTTCCAAGTTAGAAAAGAAGTTGAAACTTAACAAGACTAAGGACAAAAATCGCTTGGTGCGCAAAATGTTTAGCGACGGCTTAGATTATGCCTTGGAGTTCTGTCTAGATGATGAAGAGGAGAAGCGCAAACGCGAGCTGAAAGAAAAGCGAAAGGAAGAACTACAAAGGCAGAATGTCAGTGGCTGGAGTGATGAGGAGGAATTTGATGACGAAGGTGATGAAGATTTATTAGGCGGTGCATTAAGTGATGACAATAGTGAAAGTGGTGAAGATGCTTACAAAGATGACGACGACAACGAAGCTGATAGTAATGTTGAGGATGATGTGGAATTTGACGAAGAAAATACAGAAGATCAACGTAAGTAATTGCGTTTTTTTTTAATAATAAAGTTTTAAAAATATTACTTTTTATATATATTTTAGTAAAGGAAGACATTTACGGCAGAAAACGTGATAAAGATGGAAACATTATAAAAACTTATGTTGAGCCAAAGCCTGATGCGCAACAGCCACAAAAATATATACCGCCTCATCAACGTGCTTTGCTCGTTGCCACACAGAATGACAACAAACAGTCACAGCTGCTGGAACGATTGCGTAAAAATTGTAAGGGTTTGCTAAATCGTCTCTCTGAGGCTAATCTGCATAAGATCGCCAATGGCATTGAGGAGTTGTACATGAAAAATTCTCGCTATAATATGAATGAAACGCTTGGTGCCCTCTTACGGGAGGCATTACTTGGTCGCACTATAACGAATGAGCGTATGGTGCAGGAACATATGGTGCTTTTGGCCTATCTACATGCGCAAGTAGGCAATGAAATTGGCGCTCATTTTCTGCAAATGTTCATAGAACAATTTAACACACTTCTAACAGAGATTTTCACGCTCGCCGTAGAAGATAAGAAATTGAACAATTTAATTTTAGTACTCGCATACATATATATTTTCAAAATATATGAACATCGTTTGCTACTGGAAATAATCGGTCGACTGTCCGATAACTTGTGTGAAAAATCAATTGAGTGTCTACTACTTATCTTCCAGTCCGTGGGCTTCAAATTGCGTAAAGACGATCCACTTGCCTTTAAGGAAATGATGTTGAGTGTGCAGCGCAAAATCGCAGAAGCACCATTGGAACTGAAAGAGAATTTGCGTCTAAAATTCATGGTTGATATTTTGAATGCCGTTAAAAATAATAATATCAATAAAATACCACAATTCGATCCGGAGCTGGCGGAGAATCTGCGCAAACGGCTAAAAGCTATGTTGCGCAATGACAAATATGTGACGACACTCAATATTACCATGGATGATTTACTGCGCGCAGATCAAGTGGGCAAATGGTGGGTGGTGGGTTCAGCATGGAGCGGTAACATCGATGATATCAATTCGGCGTCAAAACAAAAGATAGATGAAGGCATTGTTGCTGGACAACGTTTCTCAGAAAAACTACTTAAACTGGCAAAACAGCAGAAAATGAATACCGAGGAACGTCGAAACATATTCTGTATTATAATGGGTGCTGAGGACTATGTTGATGCTTTCGAGAAAATATTGCATTTGGCATTGAAAGATCAACGTAGTATTGCTTATGTGATTATTCACTGCTGTTTGAATGAGAAACGTGCTAATCCATATTATGCGCATCTTGCGCTTAAGTTCTGTCACTACAACCGCAAATTTCAATTGGCTTTTCAGTTCGCCACTTGGGATCGTATCAATGACATGGAATCGCTAAATAAGTTGCAAGTGAAGAATTTAGCGAAATTCCTACAACATTTAATATTAAATGGCGGATTACAGTTGTCCGTGCTGAAAGTTGTTAACTTTTTACAGCTAGACAAGATAAGCTTTGTTTTCATGAAGGAAATAATGGTCGGTTTGCTAATGAGCGAGCGTGATAGTGAAATCTATCAGGCATTCGAACGTGTTGCCAAAAATACAAAACTCACACAATTTAAGAATAGCATACGCTTGTTCATACAACATTTCCTACTGCAAGAGGAGAGCAAACTTAAGTTGAGTGAAGAACAACTGAGTCATTTAAAGAAACGTGCAGACTATGTTGATAACATACTTGCATATGTGGACTTGTAATTTTGTATAGTTAATTTTAACAAATATATATTTAAGATTTGTAAATTAAAAATAAAAATATAAATTCTTAAGCAAAATAAACGTTTGTAAATGAAACAAAATTGTATACACTTAATTCATTAAAATTTTTTACATAATACAAAGCATATGTATAATTTTTTTTTAAATTTATTTCGCCTGCACCATTGCCTAATCGAAACTTTGCAGCAAATCACGTGCTCGTTGATATTTTGACGAATCGTAAATAGCTTTTTGCTCTTCTTCGCTAATTTCCTGACTACATTGTTTATCGAGCGCTTCAATGCACTGCTCAGCCAATTTGATAATTTGCGCCTTAGCTGCCCCCTTCGAACCTGACAAGTACTCAAGTGCAATGGGCCACATCTCTGCACCGATTTTATCTTCATCAAATACAGTTTGCTGTATAGAAATCTGTCGTAGTTTTTCAAATTTCCACTCTGATCGCAAATTCTTCCACTTACGCAAGTACTCTTCGTTACGATACCGCTCTTTGTTTTCTGTTTGATCTTTCTGTAATTCAAGCCGTTGTTTGTGCTTTTGTTTCTTCTTTTGGCGCACAGTTACTATAGCATTTTGATTATCTGGTCTTTCACTTTCGCGCAACTCATCTAAGGTGGGTTCCTGTGCTTCTTCCGCATCGTCGTCGCCAGCGTCATCACCACTATCCTGCTCGTTTGCTGTTTTGCTGCGTTTCTCCGCAATACTACCCTTCTCTTTATGTTTACGTTTTATGGCTTTTTCTATGAATTGGGTAATCATTTTTATTTAAAAACATTTTTCAATACGTATACCACAATATTACTTACTATCCCCTGCAGACTCTTCAACTGCTTCAACAATTAAGCTTTTGCTGGCCACTTCCTCGTCATTATCTTTTGATACATGTTTTCGTTTTTTAGCTTTGATTTTATTTTGTGTTGCTGACAAATTTTTGTCCACCTTATTTTCTTTCTTTGCCATTTCTATACAATTTTATCAAGTCTCATTTATTTCTTCTTAAAAACATTGCACAAATCAAACTTCAATACTCTGGCACGTGATTCTTCTTCTTCGACATAATTTTAATTCACAATGACTATCTTGAAAGGTTGGCGTTCACAAAAGTTTTTCTTAACGCCTTATTGGTTTCCAGCTTGCCTTGCAAAGCATTTTTTTATAAACAAAACCATAACAATGCGCATGCAAAAGTTACGAATGCCAATATAAAGGAAAGCTTGGATACTTGCTGTCAATTGTTGTTGGTTTCCGCGAAAAATTGCAATTCGTGCGCCTCTTTTTGTTTATTGGAAAATTGCCGCAAACCTTAAATGCAAAGTGTTCTTTTGATGTTTCTAAAATGTGAAAAAAAGCAATAAATTAAGTGTTTTTCGTATGAAAGTGTAGTTAGTTAAAGTATGTGTCTGTTATATTTAATAAGCGTATCGCCAGCAATTATCAATTCAATCAAATGTTCTATTTCTACATAAGCATAAAAAATCATATTAAACTGTAGCTCTTCATCGCAATTAGTTAGTCCACATTCAATAAAGCAAATATTTAAATTTTAATGAAAGGTAAGTGATGTTAAATTTGTAATAACCCCCGTACATATGTATGCACATACATACTAGATTTGTAAGCTGTGCGCTTGTCAGAAGTATGCAGTTGAAGACGGCACCAGCGGCGTTTTTGTTTTTTTTTTTACGTGAGAATTATTAACCCGCGAAGCAAGTTTTTTTTTTTATGTGTGTAAATTGTGTTAGTAGTGTTTTTTTTTATAAAGTGGTGCGCGAATAAAATATTTGTTACGATTATTGAAAGAGTGAAGTTCAAGGACATCACACACCCTTTCCAGTGCAGCTCACGGATTACTAATATTAGGTGAGCTAATTTTTTAAAATTATCTTTAAAATAAATTTAAGATAAAATTTATTAATGTACAGCGCACATTTTATATTTCTTCAGATTAATATGAGGTTTACAAATGTGAATAAATAATTCATGTTCTTTTATTCATGTCATACAGTACCGAATTAGCTTTTGTGTATGCTGCTAAGCTGACAGAACCAAATCACATATTAAGCATTGTCCATTTTTCTTTATGTACTTAGGTATTTTACCCTTTAGGTAGGCACTTTGTGTGAGTAGTTTGCATTTAACTTTTTTATGATTTAAAATAATTTTGTCTACTTTTCGAGTTCGACCGATTGCCAATTGAAATATTTATGTAATTAAAAATTAACTATTAATACGTACTAATTTCATCCGATACAACAACAAAAAAAAAATAACGTACTAAATTCAATCTGATTATCTAAATTATTTAGTAAATTTTACTGTTTTGTTGTTATTATGAGTTATCTAATCTTAAAAATAACAAGTAAGGAAGAGCTAAGTTCGGATGTAACCGAACAATTTATACTATAGCAAAGTCAATCGGTATACTCGTTTGAGATTTCTTAATATATTTTGCTTGATTTGCATAGTGGAAAATGAAAGAATCAGTTGGAATTTGAAATGGTGTTATATGGGAAGTAGGCGTGGTTGTAATCCGATTTCGCACTATGTCATGGAGGTACCGAATTTGGTTGAAATCAGTTTTCTACGAACATAATTAAAATATATGTAGCAGAAAATAGCGCTTTGCTATATTAATTGATTATGAAGCTAAGTGCATATGTGTGTGCTCTTAATACTTTTATTTATGAAAGTTTTAAAAGCAATAAAACCTGCAAAAAGGGTGTGTATGTATGTATGTGTGTATATTAATACTCACGTTTATGTATACTATAAGTAATTAAGAACATAAAATCGCGCTACTGTTCTACAGCAAATCGATTTGGCATGATGAGCGCGCCGGTTGAGGTGCTGCCACTTTAAATTTTAAAATTTCACGATTTCTATTTTTGCCGGCATCGGCCAGCGTCTATAAGTTACATACTTGTATTTATGTGTATACGAGTATGTGAACGACAAATCTGAGAAAAAATAGCAGAATGTACAATGCCCATATAAATAGGCATTTATTTACAACGCTAAGTATATAACTAATTATATAGTATAGTTATATATATTAATGTAGCTATTTGCCTGTAAAATATATTCAGTGTGTCTGTCTGCCCCCACAAAGGCTTTCCAATGGGCGCTTATTTTGTTTTGAACGCTGAGCGATGCGCGAACGGACAAATTTCATGGCACACATACAAACACACACACACACACAGCTAAGAATAAAAAATACAGCAAAATAAAATTTAACAGTGCCGCAATCGCCAGACGCTGTGGTGGTTGGTTGCTTCACATTTCTTATGCATTTCTCAAATCAGTTTGGCGTTGTGCGTGTTCTGAAGGTGTACAATTTTTGAAACGTTCGTTCTAACAAATTTTTTCCGTTGCTACTTTATAACTGAATTAAAAAAAAAATTCTCTCGTGCGGTTTTCGATATTTAATAACCGAATTAATATTAAATGCATACATATATTTACTGTTAACGCATCTAATATTCATTCAAATTATTACTCACGTTTGCACATGTGCAACATTTGCCGTTGTGTGCTACGTTATTAAAAAATAACGGTTTATTTTTGCGAAAGCAAAATTGTTCTAACTAATCTCTAATTGCCGGAAAATAGTGAAAAAGTCGTATAAAACACCTGTGCGCATTTAAATGTGAAAGTGTATTTACGAAAAGCAAGAAAATCGTCTTGGCCCACCAGGCGTATGAGTAATGCGTGGGTCTCTGTGCGTCACTTTTCCGTTGGTCGCAGTTTAAGTGTGTTTTCTGGCAAACGTTGCGCAAATAAATTATTGCAATTAAGTGATATTCAATGAAAATTACTAAAAATATCTCGTGAATTTTCCTGTGCTTTGTTTTCCGCATATATGTATGTATGTATGTGTGTTTGTATGCAGTAAGTGTGACAAAGGCTCGTGTGAGGGTAATACAAAACCACGCTGATTTTCCGTACTGCTTGCTAGTATCTTTTCTACCCACTAATTGGATTGTTGACAAGCCAAAGCCAAAATAACAACAACAACAACACCAATATTTGTATTACTAGCAATATTTACTCAACACACACATTGTATTGGCATGCAGCCGCAACTGCGTAGAAATCATTGACTTATATGCAGCGTTTGCCTTGTGCCGCCGACCCTCTGAAACGCCACGAGTCTAGCCTTACACTCGTTACGTTTACTTGAAACGGTCGTAAAAATAATCAATAAGCCATTGCTGCAACTACAAAGTCCTCAACACACAATTCTACAACTCTTTTTCACTAGCTTCACTAGAAAAAAATAAATTACAATATAAACGCGAACGTTTTTGTTGATCCATTCGCTCGTTGCGGTTACTGTGACAACAAGCCACAAAGCGCCGCTAAGTCACCATTACTGTCGTCGCGTGTTACCTACGAAATAAAAAATAAAAAAAAAACAAGAAAATCGGAAAATTGTGTGGAAATACCACAGTGAAAATCAAAAGTGTTTGGCAGACTGTTGTCATACACCGGAAATATCGTGCAGTGTGTTAAGCGAAAACCGCATTAAAAGCAATTAAAAGAGTTAAGTGCAACAAATTTCATACAAAGCTTTTGCAGTAATTCTAAAACGAAACGTGTATTTCTTTGCAAATCTTTTGTTCTTGTCGCGAAGCTTAAGAATTTGCGTTTCTTTTTCAAACGACTTTGGGTTGGATTTACGTCAGCTGTGTGGCGCCTGTTTTAGATGATTTTCGTTGGCACATCAGTACGCTAATATTGTGTGAGTACAGCAGTAAATATTTAGCTACCTAAGATGTGTATACATATATGAAATAACATTTAGAATTTAAAACAATAAACATATTTTTTTATAATGCACACATATGTATATACATAAATATTTTTTCTGTTTTTTTTTGTTCCGAAAAACAGAATTTACGTGTACCAATATTGTTTACAACACACTGCTAGAAATATATATTTTTATTTTTTATAATTTATGTGTGCTTGCTAGTCCGCTAAAAAATTTTTTCTCCAAGTAGTTTTTTTTAACACTTCATAGCTCCATCATATTCAGAACTCAATTTTTTTGTTATAAAACCAATTTTACGAAACAATATTCTATAAAAGATTAACAAATAAAATATTTTTTGAAGTTATTGTTGTTTGACAATTTCTAATTTTTTTTTAAACTATTTTTATAATATACTTTTTAATTAATTATTTATTGTTTAATTAATTTTTATGTAATTATTTTATTTTTAGTTTAACTATTTTTTAAAATTTACTTATTTTTAAATAATTAATAGCTATTTAATTAATTTCTTTTTAAATAATAATAATTCTTTAATTTCTTTTTAAATAATTATTAATTATTTATTTAATTTCTATTTAATTATTTTATTTTTAAATTTTTTAAAATTATTATATTTTTTTGTAATGTATTTATTTTAAATTTTTTTTGAATTTTTTTGTAATGTTTTTATTTTGAATTTTTTTTAAATTGTTAATATTTTTTTTTTTTAATAAATATATTTTTTTATTATTTTTATTTTTTTTTATCAAGTTTTTTTTATTAAGTTTTTTTTATTTAAATTTTTGTTTTTTTATTTAGTTTTTTTTATTTATTTTTTTTTATTTATTTTTTTTTTGTTTTTAGTTTTGTATCTGTATGTCGTTTTTACAATAAATGTGTATAAGAAATTAAATTTATATATATGGAAAAACAGTATCTTATATATTATCGTAAAATGAGTAATTACGCACATCATATTTTTTAATTTGGAAAGTTGGTAAAATAAATTACAAAATTAAATTTAAAAAAATATTTTAATAAAAAATTTTTTAAACTAATTTTTTTTTAAATAATTTTTTTAACTTTATAGATGTAATAAATTTCGAATTAAAATAATATATTTTTATAATAATTGAATAATGAACAATAAAATAGAAATAAATTGAGGCTTGCACGACGACCTAAGGTCTATTGTGGCAACATCTTGTCACACAAGCCTCACATAGACCCAGCAGTTTGATGAATAATGGAGGAAAAAGTTGCGGAAAATTATATTTCTTAAGCATTTGAATTACTTTTAATATAAATTAATTTAAATTTCTACTATTCGAAATCTAAATATTACAATATATTTTAATGGAAAAATATCAACTATCAACACTCAAGTTGTCGATTTCAGCAACTTTTCATTATTTTCCATATAAAATTCAAATATTTGTAATAATGTTTTACTTATATTAGTTACTTGAACAGGTTTCTTAAAAACATTTTTTAATATTTTTTTTAAAATTTTTTTAAATACAGTATAAAATAAAAATTTTTACATAATTTTATTTTTATTATTTTA